CTGACTCGCAGGAGTGAACTGGTCAATCCCCCCATCCTGTAGATCACCTCCACTCACCAAGTTCGTAGAGAACGAGGAGAGGTAGAGACCTGACAGGGTGCCAGAGGGGACTGCCGGACACGGTAAGACAGTGGAGAAGCGAGCAAGGACAGGACCCCCAGAGGGGTCCGCCAGGGAGACCGCAACCGGCCGACTAAGCGGCGTAAGCGTGGTGCGGTCTCGAAAGAAGGAGCGGGAAGCACCCGAGTCAAGGGTGAAGGTGTGTAAGGCCTGAGCCGACGTGGTACCTGAGAGAGCAGACTCACCAGCACCTGGGGCAGCAGACGCACTAGCACCTAGAGCAGCAGCCTCACCAGCACCTAGAGCAGCAGCCTCAATGCCCGGGTCAGGCGGAACACACAGGTAACAGTCACCCTCATCAGTAGCAGACACAGCATACATGGCAGCAAGAATAGCATCATAGTCAAGATCAAAGATAGCAACCCCCACCCTAGACAGCTCTCCCCAGCGAGGGATCTCAGTGGCGTCAGGGAACTGGTGACGCCAAGCGTCCGTCAGGCGGCCGAAGCAGCGCTGGGTGGAGTGCGAGCCCCCGCACTGCTCACCAGCGCGGTCGCCGGTACGGAGGACGTAGGTACAGGGACCAGTACCCCCACCTCGCTGACGCCCAGCGTACCACTCACGAAGCTGCTGGGGGGACAGGGTCTCACGAGTGCGCTGCTGCTGCTGGCGCTGACCACCACCTAAGCCGCCCCGCTGCGCAGAGCCGCCCCGACCAGCTCCACCTCCTCCGCCGCCACCTCCGCCACCGCCGCCACCGCCTCCTCCTCCGCTCCCACCGCCACCGCTGCCGCCGCCTCCGCCGCCACCGCCGCTACCGAAGCCCCCACCCCCGCCACCACTCCCACCACCACCCCCACTCCCTCCGCCTCCTCCACCTCCACCTCCACCGCCCCCGCCCCCGCCAGCCCCTCCAGCGCCCTTGCCCCCCTTGCCCTTGCCGGTGCGGCGTCGCCCGCTAGGGGCAGACGCAGCGCCGACCGACTCGGTGCCAACGAAGTCGACGGCAGCAGCAGAGGCAACAGAGGGCAAAAGGGGGGAGGGGGAGCACCCCTCAAAGACAGGGGCACGCGGGTCACCTCTAGAGGCTCCTACAGCGACTATACTCTTCTCAGCTGCCAGGAGGCGCTCCTCGAGGAGGTCAACGGTGAGTGTGGTGGGGCAAACAGAGAGGAAGTGGTCCCTGACCGAGCGAAGGGAGTCAGGGGGCCGGGTGACTAGGTAGTAGAGGGTGATGTACATGGGGGGGGGGGGGGGGGGTTCTTGGCGCAGAACTCAGCAGGAAGCGCAGCGCGGTAGCGGGTGTCACTAGTGCGGAGGTGCGTAATGAGGTCAGCGACAGTGGGAAAGGCTGCGAGGTCAGGAAACAGGTACAGCAGCATGAGGCGGCTAAGAGCAGCAGTGGCAGGGGAAGAGTGTCATGCAACTACAGCGTCGTATAAGGACTTAGCACTCTTGTACTGACTAAAGTGCGCACGCTCAGTGGTCGGTAAGTGGCGACGCACAGCAAGACGGGTAGCAGCATCGCGGGTGGCCCACTGTGAGCGAACAGTGCTGTCAGCATCAGCAGGCGCGGCAGGAGAGGCACCAGAGGTGAGATCGAACAGAGAGAGTCCGTCTGCCCTATCGCACTGTAGGAAGAGCTGTAGGTCATCGACCCAGACCTCGAAGTCAACAGCACGACCCTCAGCATCAAAGGTAAGGACACTGGGGGTAGCCATGACAGCTGTGGTCTAGCAGGGAGTGCTCTCACCAGTCCGGGTGGGTAGGGCCAGGGCGCTCCGGAAGGAACAGGGCGGCAACCGCGGTAGCAGCGGCTCGACAGTGGCCTCGGCGGCTTGGCTGCTCGGCGGCTCGGCGGCTCGGCTGCTGGGCGGCTCGGCGGCTCGGCTGCTGGGCGGCTCGGCTGCTGGGTGGCTCGGCGGCTCGGCTGCTGGGCGGCTCGGCGGCTCGGCTGCTGGGCGGCTCGGCGGCTCGGCTGCTGGGCGGCTCGGCGGCTCGGCTGCTGGGCGGCTCGGCGGCTCGGCGGTTCTTCGGCTCGGCTGCTGGGCGGCTCGGCGGCTCTGCTGCTGGGCGGCTCGGCAGCTGGGCGGTGAAGGGGCCGGGGAGGGGCCGAAAGGGGCGGCGACGGGGCCGCAAGGGGCGGCGACGGGGCCGCTAAGGGCGGCGACGGGGCCGCGAGGGGCGGCGACGGGGCCGCGAGGGGCGGCGTCGGGGCCGCTAGGGGCGGCGACGGGGCCGCGTAGGGGCGGCGACGGGGCCGGTAGGGGCGGCGACGGGGCCGCGTAGGGGCGGCAACGGGGCCGCGAGGGGCGGCGACGGGGCCGCTAGGGGCGGCGACAGGGCCGCTAGGGGCGGCGACGGGGCCGTGTAGGGGCGGCGACGCGGCCGGTAGGGGCGGCGACGGGGCCGCGTAGGGGCGGCGACGGGGCCGGTAGGGGCGGCGACGGGGCCGCGAGGGGCGGCGACGGGGCCGCGAGGGGCGGCGACGGGGCCGCTAGGGGCGGCGACGGGGCCTCGTAGGGGCCGCGAGGGGCCTGGAAGGGCGGCGACGGGGCCGCTAGGGGCGGCGACGGGGCCGCGAAGCGGCCTCAAGGGGCCTAGAAGGGCGGCGACGGGGCCGCTAGGGGTGGCGACGGGGCCGCTAAGGGTGGCGCGAGGGGCCTCTAGGAGGGCTCGACAGAAGGGTGGCCCACGGGGCGCGCCTCGGGCAGGAGCGACTCGCGCTCCGGTCAGAAAAAGGTCGATTTTAGTGGTGGGCCCTGAGAGGCGTTCCCACTAGGGAACCTGCTCTATACCATGTGAAGAAATGAGGAATGAATGAACTAGCAAGCAGGTGGGTACAAGTAGGAAAACCTAGAAGTGTTGTACCCCATATTGTTTACCCCACTACAGCCTACACAGACTATAGCATAAGAGTTTGACAGTTGCCGTGTGCCATGTATGTAAACTAGCCCTACCGTAAGCCCCCGGATAGAAGCGCAGGCCTCGGATAAGCGCCGGCGCTTATAAAAGGATGAGGGCACTTATATCCGATCCTCGATTATAAGCGCACCCCTGAAGGCTTGCGGATTATAAGAGCCACCCTCGTTTGTTGATTCTATAATTTTACTGAAATCGTTGTAACGAAACTGACATTTCCATTCCCACATTTTGAATCTCGATACCCTTCACCCTCGCTCGGCTCATTGCCAGCGCGTCCAGTCAGAATGACGTGTCAGGGGCGCAAGTTGACACATTCTGACTGAGTGTGTTAGCCTGGTATATCTCAACGGAATGTAGCAGGCGCGCTAACGACAAAGACGAAACCACAAAACGACAAACTGCTTGGGGCAAAAAAAATAAAAAAAAACCACAGATGGATGGCATGTCATTTGAGGGCCTCAACCCTAAAATTTTAGGGTTTAGGCTCCCGAATGGTGCATGCCATCCCGATAGGATTCTAGTTTTTTCTGCCCGGGTCAGGGTGACGCTCGCGAAAGCGTGAACCCCGAGCGTCATCCCTGGCAAAACGGAGTGTCACCCCCGATTCCGTTGAGAGATACGGCAGGGAATCATTTTCTGCTAACTTGCGCGAGATTCTCAATCACCACCCTGTATAGTTTCGACTCGATTCAAAATCCAAGAACGAGATTACAGTTTGGTGTAAAAAAGACGCGTTTCATAGAAGTCATTATATAAGCGCCAGCGCTTATAAAAATCCTCAATTATAAGCCCACCCCCTTAAAAACGGTGTTTTTTTATACCCCCAAGGGCGCTTCTATCCAGGGGCTGACGGTATTTGTGCAGATTCAGTTAGTGAGAATTGTAAAACCTTTGGTTCTAGGAGATCATAAACTCTCCTACTCTAGCAGGCCTCTGGATTGGATTTGGGGTACTCTTTCGCGTAAGGCCAACACTCAGCTTTTACTCTTTCAGTAAGGGTGCTTCACAGAAACTGCTCTTAAAAAATCAGGGTGCAAACAAATTAAATAAGTCGACTAGTAGTTTGACTCTCCATACTAAACAGGATGTTGGTGTTGCAGTTGAGTTGTCGTAGTTATGTGGAGGACACAAGTTCGATACCCAGTGCGAGCGTCCGACGCGAGTACAATTGATGCCTGTTTGAGCCCCTCCCGGTTGCCTTGTGAAGGGGGCGAATAAACTGTAACGTGTATTTCGCATAAGTTTCGTCAATTCGCAGCTAGCTAAAAAGGATTCGCAGGTGCTTATATTAAGTATCTGTAACCTTATCCGTTGACATTTTGACTTCAGTCTCTTCAGTTTGACTTCGGTCTGTTCGTTACAATTGGTCCATAACCACGCGACGCGCTTGTATCGTGGGTGCAACAGGCTGGGGAAAAGACCTCGGGTGCAGCGTTTCCATCCGGTGCAGGGAAAATTCGCGTGCACTGGTTGGGCATCATGTGTAATGTGTTTTACGCGACCAATCTTGGTATCCTTTCTTAGATCAAACTCGATTTCATCAGTGCTACTACACCACATAGCTCTGAAATATCAGTGTCGTATAATCGATCACTTTTTTTGTATGGGTCTAAAACAAAACCAGTCGTGTAAAAAAGGGTGCATAGTCAAACCCGCCCTTATAGTAAGGGTCATAAGGGTGAATCACCCTGATATCGAAAGGCCTGTACTCTGGTAATATGTTGGGTTGAAAAACTAGCCTTAGGATCTTTTAGAGTTTATCCTTGATAAGTGTTGCAGCGGAAGTATGTGAAATCCTGTGCTAGTCAAATGTGAGAACAAGAATTGATAATAATGAGAAATTACAAGAAATATATAGTCTACCAAAGTATCGACTGGGTAATGTACTTATTCGTGAATTGGGCTTTTAACGGGTCAACTACTGAAGCGATACTTTTCTGTGTCACGATACTGCTCGCACTACCACACTCAGATTCCTAGCAGTAGGTTAGTTCCTAGCGCGCCCCGTCCCACCCTTAATACGCCTCGCCCCGTTCGTAATGCGCTCCGTCCTTAGCGCGCCCCGTAACGCCCCGTAACGCCCCGTAACGCCCCGTAGCACGCCCTGTCCTAGTCGAACGCGCGCGCAGCAGCTCCTGCACGCACCCGCGCGCACATAGGCCGCCGCACACTGCTCCCTCCCTCCTCCTCCCCCCCCCTCCCCCTTTTTTTCGTCCCACAGCAGCAGCAGCCGCGATCGGGTGCGCCACTGCATGCACACGAGAAGCAGCCGCCGCCACGCCCGCAGCAGCCGCCGCCACGCAGACAGCAGCCGCCGCCGCCGCGCGCACAGCAGCCACTGCCGCACACCCTGCCCGCCCCGTCCCGTTCCGCGCCCGGCCCTGCTGCCCGCGCACGCAGCCACGCGCACACCGCCTCGCATGAGCATAAGCGCACGTGCAGCTGCCCGTACTCCTTAACATGTCACCCCATTCCACCGCACTAGACCATTCCTAATTGCAATCCACTGCATTAAATCCCCCCTGACCGCTCCTCACCATGCTAGACCGCCCCCCACTGCACCGTTACACACCCGGCCGCACCTTAACCGCTCTCCACCGCACTAGTCTACACCCTACCGTACCTGACCGCTCCCCACCGCGCTAGACCGCACTCAACCGCACTCGACCGCACCCTACCGCACTAGACCGCACCTACCCTTCACCCGTACCTGCAGTCTATCAGCGGCGTCGCCAGTCGTCGCGATGGCCCCTGCGACGGCGAGCTCGCAGCTGGCGGGGCTGCAGCAGTGGGCGAAGCGCGTGCTGCTGGCGGAACTCGTCGCGCCCGGCGACGAGGTACGCCGCCGGGACTCCCCTCGGAGGGGAGGGGTGCACCATGGCTGGGCGATGGGTGGGCGATGGGTGGGTGATGGGTGGGCGAAGGGTGGGGAAAGCGGCTGACAGAGTAGCATGCCCCCTGGCAGCGAGCGGTGGGGGGCGGTAGAGCTTTTGAGGGGACGAGGAGGAGCAGAGGCGAGGGAAAAAGACGTCAGAGGGATCGTTTAGCGCATGGCTCAGACGATGCATGCGTGCTCACCCCGCGCATTGTGTGCGCCCCTCTGTGCGCGCGTGTGTGTGCCCGCAGGTGTGCGAGATGTTCTGTGGCCGCGGGGAGGACACGCCGCTGTGGGTCAATGCGCGCATCGACTCCTACCTGGGCGTCGGTGAGTGCCACGTGGGCGTCGGTGAGTGCCACGTGGGCGTCAAGTAATCCTCCACTTGCTCCGTGTGGGCCCCTCCTCTTTATCTCCCCTCCGACCTGCCTTTACTTCGCTTTTCCTGGCGCACCACTCCCCCTTCCTTCCAACCCACTTCCTCCTCCTTCCCCCCTCGTCCCCCCATGCGCTCTGCCCTGGCTCCCATGGCACGGGTGGGAGGGGGGCGGGGCAGACGTGACGCCATCATCGCTGGAGGAGGCGGCGGAGGAGTGGCGCGCGCACGGCGCCCCCTATGGCGCCGCCTTCCACTATGCCGACCCTTCCCTCGTATGCGTATTAGAGAGTTGCAGCTGAGTTATCCGGTTCCTCCTCGTTTCCCCATTCAAGAGAACCTCATGTCAATTCAGAAAAAAAACAACCTAGCTGTCATCTGTTTTTCTGGGGAAAAAACCTTGTTTGTTGTATCGAAATCACGCATGGCCCGCTTTGGCTCGTTGGTGAACCATCGGAGTGGCTGCTCTCTGGTCCGAGACCAGAACCATTTCAAGTGTAAGAGCCAAACAAATGAGCTGGGTTCTGACATTGTGCCCAACCGTCGTCTTCCTGCAGGCGCAGCTCTCGCTGCCCGCGGTGGGGCGCCTCACGCCCTTCAACGTTGTCTGCTGCAGCCCTCGCGTGCAGGTGCATGTTTCAACCCTCATGCCACTTGCTATGCTGTTTGTATTCTCTTTTCACTGCCAGCTTTCCCTGTTCCGAATCACCGCCTTGTGCTCTCGAATGTAACCACCCCGACTCTTACCCACCCACCTGCTCCCTTAACCCCACATAACCCCTCCCCCTCCACCCCTCACCCCCCCCCAACCAACGCGTGGGCGTACAGGACTGGTTTGCCTCGCAGCGCACGGCTTCACAGTTCCTGGCGAACGTGGCAACACTGCTGGCCCCCGGAGGGATCTTCTTCGGCCTGCTGCCCGACTCCTCCACGCTCTGGTATGCCCGACTCCTCCACGCTCTGGTATGCCCGACTCCTCCACGCTCTGGTATGCCCGACTCCTCCACGCTCTGGTATGCCCGACTCCTCCACGCTCTGGTATGCCCGACTCCTCCACGCTCTGGTATGCCCGACTCCTCCACGCTCTGGTATGCCCGACTCCTCCACGCTCTGGTATGCCCGACTCCTCCACGCTCTGGTATGCCCGACTCCTCCACGCTCTGGTATGTCCGACTCCTCCACGCTCTGGTATGCCCGACTCCTCCACGCTCTGGTATGCCCGACTCCTCCACGCTCTGGTATGCCCGACTCCTCCACGCTCTGGTCTGCCCGACTCCTCCACGCTCTGGTATGCCCGACTCCTCCACGCTCTGGTATGCCCGACTCCTCCACGCTCTGGTCTGCCCGACTCCTCCACGCTCTGGTATGCCCGACTCCTCCACACTCTGGTATGCCCGACTCCTCCACGCTCTGGTATGCCCGACTCCTCCACGCTCTGGTATGCCCGACTCCTCCACGCTCTGGTCTGCCCGACTCCTCCACGCTCTGGTATGCCCGACTCCTCCACGCTCTGGTATGCCCGACTCCTCCACGCTCTGGTCTGCCCGACTCCTCCACGCTCTGGTATGCCCGACTCCTCCACGCTCTGGTATGCCCGACTCCTCCACGCTCTGGTCTGCCCGACTCCTCCACGCTCTGGTCTGCTGCTTGTTTAGAACTTTACACTTTTATCGTGTTCAGCAACCATCATGTCTTCCCTTTGTTGCTCCTCCGCCCACTGCGGTTGCGCCGCTACTCCACCTTCTGATACGCATAGCGACTGGTCAGACCCGCACCCTGGTTCAACCTGATAGGGTAGAAATTGAACGAGCACGGACCAGACCGTGCTAGTCTGGGTCGGGCCAGGGTGGGATGGCCGGCCGGGCCAGTCCGGCCCAGCGCGGGTGCCGGCCCTACGCTGCAGACCAATGTGACGGGCCAATGTTGACGGGCCAATGTGACGGGCCAATGCGACGGGCCAATGCGACGGGCCAATGTGACGGGCCAATGTGACGGGCCAATGTGACGGGCCAATGTGACGGGCCGATGTGACGGACCAATGTTGACGGGCCAATGTGACGGGCCAATGTGACGGGCCAATGTGACGGACCAATGTGACGGGCCAATGTGACGGGCCAATGTGACGGACCAATGTGACGGACCAATGTTGACGGGCCAATGTGACGGGCCAATGTGACGGGCCAATGTGACGGGCCAATGTGACGGGCCAATGTGACGGGCCAATGTGACGGGCCAATGTGACGGGCCAATGTGACGGGCCAATGTGACGGGCCAATGTGACGGGCCAATGTGACGGGCCAATGTGACGGGCCAATGTGACGGGCCAATGCGACGGGCCAATGTGACGGGCCAATGTGACGGGCCGATGACGGGCCAATGTGACGGGCCAATGTGACGGGCCGATGTCACGGGCCGATGTCACGGGCCGATGTTGACGGGCCCATGTGACGGGCCAATGTGATGGGCCAATGTGACGGGCCAATGTGACGGGCCAATGTGACGGGCCAATGTGACGGGCCAATGTTGACGGGCCAATGTTGACGGGCCAATGTGACGGGCCAATGTTGACGGGCCAATGTGACGGGCCAATGTGACGGGCCAATGTGACGGACCAATGTGACGGGCCAATGTGACGGGCCAATGTGACGGGCCAATGTGACGGGCCAATGTGACGGGCCAATGTGACGGGCCAATGTGACGGGCCCATGTGACGGGCCATTGTGACGGGCCATGTGACGGGCCAATGTGACGGGCCAATGTGACGGGCCAATGTGACGGGTCAATGTGACGGGCCAATGTGACGGGCCAATGTGACGGGCCAATGTGACGGGCCAATGTGACGGGCCAATGTGACGGGCCAATGTGACGGGCCAATGTGACGGGCCAATGTGACGGGCCAATGTGACGGGCCAATGTGACGGGCCAATGTGACGGGCCAATGTGACGGGCCAATGTGACGGGCCAATGTGACGGACCAATGTGACGGGCCAATGTGACGGGCCAATGTGACGGGCCAATGTGACGGGCCAATGTGACGGGCCAATGTTGACGGGCCAATGTTGACGGGCCAATGTGACGGGCCAATGTGACGGGCCAATGTGACGGGCCAATGTGACGGGCCAATGTGACGAGCCAATGTGACGGGCCAATGTGACGGACCATTGTGACGGGCCAATGTGACGGGCCAATGTGACGGGCCAGTGTGACGGGCCAATGTTGACGGGCCAATGTGACGGGCCAATGTGACGGACCAATGTGACGGGCCAATGTGACGGGCCAATGTGACGGGCCAATGTGACGGGCCAATGTGACGGGCCAATGTGACGGGCCATTGTGACGGGCCAATGTGACGGGCCAATGTGACGGGCCAATGTGACGGACCAATGTGACGGGCCAATGTGACGGGCCAATGTGACGGACCAATGTGACGGGCCAATGTGACGGGCCAATGTGACGGGCCAATGTGACGGGCCAATGTGACGGGCCAATGTGACGGGCCAATGTGACGGGCCAATGTGACGGGCCAATGTGACGGGCCAATGTGACGGGCCAATGTGACGGGCCAATGTGACGGGCCAATGTGACGGGCCAATGTGACGGACCAATGTGCCGGGCAAATGTGACGGACCAATGTGACGGGCCAATGTGACGGGCCAATGTGACAGACCAATGTGACGGGCCAATGTGACGGGCCAATGTGACGGGCCAATTTGACGGGCCAATTTGACGGGCCAATGTTGACAGACCAATGTGACGGGCCAATGTGACGGGCCAATGTGACGGGCCAATGTGACGGGCCAATGTGACGGGCCAATGTGACGGGCCAATGTGACGGGCCAATGTGACGGGCCAATGTGACGGGCCAATGTGACGGGCCAATGCGACGGGCCAATGCGACGGGCCAATGCGACGGGCCAATGCGACGGGCCAATGCGACGGGCCAATGCGACGGGCCAATGTGACGGGCCAATGTGACGGGCCAATGTGACGGACCAATGTGACGGGCCAATGTGACGGGCCAATGTGACGGGCCAATGTGACGGGCCAATGTGACGGGCCAATGTGACGGGCCAATGTGACGGGCCAATGTGACGGGCCAATGTGACGGGCCAATGTGACGGGCCAATGTTGACGGGCCAATGTTGACGGGCCAATGTTGACGGGCCAATGTGACGGGCCAATGTGACGGGCCAATGTGACGGGCCAATGTGACGGGCCAATGTGACGGGCCAATGCGACGGGCCAATGCGACGGGCCAATGCGACGGGCCAATGCGACGGGCCAATGCGACGGGCCAATGCGACGGGCCAATGTGACGGGCCAATGTGACGGGCCAATGTGACGGACCAATGTGACGGGCCAATGTGACGGGCCAATGTGACGGGCCAATGTGACGGGCCAATGTGACGGGCCAATGTGACGGGCCAATGTGACGGGCCAATGTGACGGGCCAATGTGACGGGCCAATGTGACGGGCCAATGTTGACGGGCCAATGTTGACGGGCCAATGTTGACGGGCCAATGTGACGGGCCAATGTGACGGGCCAATGTGACGGGCCAATGTGACGGGCCAATGTGACGGGCCAATGTTGACGGGCCAATGTTGACGGGCCAATGTGACGGGCCAATGTTGACGGGCCAATGTGACGGGCCAATGTGACGGGCCAATGTGACGGACCAATGTGACGGGCCAATGTGACGGGCCAATGTGACGGGCCAATGTGACGGGCCAATGTGACGGGCCAATGTGACGGGCCAATGTGACGGGCCCATGTGACGGGCCATTGTGACGGGCCATGTGACGGGCCAATGTGACGGGCCAATGTGACGGGCCAATGTGACGGGTCAATGTGACGGGCCAATGTGACGGGCCAATGTGACGGGCCAATGTGACGGGCCAATGTGACGGGCCAATGTGACGGGCCAATGTGACGGGCCAATGTGACGGGCCAATGTGACGGGCCAATGTGACGGGCCAATGTGACGGGCCAATGTGACGGGCCAATGTGACGGGCCAATGTGACGGGCCAATGTGACGGACCAATGTGACGGGCCAATGTGACGGGCCAATGTGACGGGCCAATGTGACGGGCCAATGTGACGGGCCAATGTGACGGGCCAATGTTGACGGGCCAATGTTGACGGGCCAATGTGACGGGCCAATGTGACGGGCCAATGTGACGGGCCAATGTGACGGGCCAATGTGACGAGCCAATGTGACGGACCATTGTGACGGACCATTGTGACGGGCCAATGTGACGGGCCAATGTGACGGGCCAATGTGACGGGCCAGTGTGACGGGCCAGTGTGACGGGCCAATGTTGACGGGCCAATGTGACGGGCCAATGTGACGGACCAATGTGACGGGCCAATGTGACGGGCCAATGTGACGGGCCAATGTGACGGGCCAATGTGACGGGCCAATGTGACGGGCCATTGTGACGGGCCATTGTGACGGGCCAATGTGACGGGCCAATGTGACGGGCCAATGTGACGGGCCAATGTGACGGGCCAATGTGACGGACCAATGTGACGGGCCAATGTGACGGGCCAATGTGACGGGCCAATGTGACGGGCCAATGTGACGGGCCAATGTGACGGGCCAATGTGACGGGCCAATGTGACGGGCCAATGTGACGGGCCAATGTGACGGGCCAATGTGACGGGCCAATGTGACGGGCCAATGTGACGGGCCAATGTGACGGGCCAATGTGACGGGCCAATGTGACGGGCCAATGTGACGGGCCAATGTGACGGGCCAATGTGACGGACCAATGTGCCGGGCAAATGTGACGGACCAATGTGACGGGCCAATGTGACGGGCCAATGTGACAGACCAATGTGACGGGCCAATGTGACGGGCCAATGTGACGGGCCAATTTGACGGGCCAATTTGACGGGCCAATGTTGACGGGCCAATGTGACGGGCCAATGTGACGGGCCAATGTGACGGGCCAATGTGACGGGCCAATGTGACGGGCCAATGTGACGGGCCAATGTGACGGGCCAATGTGACGGGCCAATGTGACGGGCCAATGCGACGGGCCAATGCGACGGGCCAATGCGACGGGCCAATGCGACGGGCCAATGCGACGGGCCAATGCGACGGGCCAATGTGACGGGCCAATGTGACGGGCCAATGTGACGGACCAATGTGACGGGCCAATGTGACGGGCCAATGTGACGGGCCAATGTGACGGGCCAATGTGACGGGCCAATGTGACGGGCCAATGTGACGGGCCAATGTGACGGGCCAATGTGACGGGCCAATGTGACGGGCCAATGTGACGGGCCAATGTGACGGGCCAATGTTGACGGGCCAATGTTGACGGGCCAATGTTGACGGGCCAATGTGACGGGCCAATGTGACGGGCCAATGTGACGGGCCAATGTGACGGGCCAATGTGACGGGCCAATGCGACGGGCCAATGCGACGGGCCAATGCGACGGGCCAATGCGACGGGCCAATGCGACGGGCCAATGCGACGGGCCAATGTGACGGGCCAATGTGACGGGCCAATGTGACGGACCAATGTGACGGGCCAATGTGACGGGCCAATGTGACGGGCCAATGTGACGGGCCAATGTGACGGGCCAATGTGACGGGCCAATGTGACGGGCCAATGTGACGGGCCAATGTGACGGGCCAATGTGACGGGCCAATGTTGACGGGCCAATGTTGACGGGCCAATGTTGACGGGCCAATGTGACGGGCCAATGTGACGGGCCAATGTGACGGGCCAATGTGACGGGC